AGAGAGAGAGAGAGAGAGAGAGAGAGAGAGAGAGAGAGAGAGAGAGACAGAGACAGACAGACAGACAGACAGACAGACAGACAGACAGACAGAAAGAGAGAGAGAGACAGAGACAGAGACAGAGAGAGAGACAGAGAGAGACAGACAGACAGACAGACAGAGACAGAGAGACGGAGAGAGAAAAGAGAGAGAGGGAGATCGAGAGACATAGACAGAGACGGAGAGAGAGAGACAGAGTGCCCAATATGGTAGCGGGGTCACAAGGAAGGAGTACTGCAGAAGAAGGTGTTCTTGTGAGGGCGGAGGGGGCTCGCAACATCACCACTCCTGCTGCACGGGCACGCGTACGTGATTCTGCACCACCACGTTTCTGCCATGCGTGAAGCGCTGATTGACTCCAGTGCTTCAAGCCTTACCCCGCATATCTCCGTCCCCCTGACGTACTCGCACGCGCCGTGCCTGGCTCCCTCGTGGAGGACATTCCAACCGGTGCCTTCGCATGGTCCATCCGCGTACCTGCACGGTTTGTTCCCGACCAACACATCAGTTGGTGTTGATGCGTGTTGAACCAATCACCACAGCGTTGTAATATGTGCGAACGAACCAAGGATGGTGCTCTGAAGGCTACATCGCTATGCCAGACACGTCGTCGAAGTCGAAGTCACAACAAGCTATCGATAACCGTGGTAGTGGTGCTCAGCAGAGGCACACACAACACGCGTTGGTCGATGCGGGGCGTGCTCTCACTCTGATAGAACACGGGAGACGATCAACGTAGCGTATATATCCGCTTCATCCGATACTGGACAGGGTGTGGCCCCACCTTGTACAATTGAGATTGTACTCCCACACGTCATTGTAGTACAGCCCCACGGCCACGGTAGTGCTACAAGTCTCCTCCGTGCTGTTGGTGCTTCCGTTGGTGCTGATGGAAGCGCTGCTGCTGGCGGAGCTATCGAAGGTGACGTTGTTATCCAACGCGTTGGCCTGACACTCCAGGACTATCTTCTCGTCGTAGCTCACGAACTCTAGAGTGCCGTCCTCTCGAGTGACCTGTCATGTATAGATTTTTCGTCGTCATCCAAATAGCTTGCTGCCGCTCGTCATTAAGAAAGTCTGCGGCCAGTCTATTGCAATAGAGGAGACCCGATAGCAAGACGGGTGCGGGCGGGGCTTTTCAACAAACGCAAAGGTTGCCCGAATAACCACGTCTCGTCAGCATACGGACAGCCACAGCATGAACGTGTACGTGGTTTCCGTGAGCTCCGAAGCAACGAGGGCGTCTCTCATGTGCGAAACGGTCCACTATCCGAGTGCAGCGAGCCGGAGTTTGACCAACACAGCACTTCGTGACGACAGGAGGCTGTATGTCAGCACGGATGCATGGCTACAGCGCAACAAAGACTGCGCACCTGATGTTATGTTGTGCAGACACGCCTGCTTACACTTGAGGAAGCACCAAACACAAGTTAAAATTAGGCAGCAAATGTAGACTACGTAGACTAGTTGTACGCACGGACCGCATTTTTCTGGGGTGTGATCTGAGATTGCTCACCTCGTATGTCCTAGGGATGTGCTGCCGCACGATCTCGTTGTCCCTCCCGCCAAACATGATCACGCGGCTGCCGTTTCCAGCTAAAACCATGCTGTGCCCGATTCGCCCGCCTGGGCCACCATCCCCGGATACCTCATCCCTTTCAAAGGCGCACCATGGCAGCAGGAAAATCCGTGTGGAGGAATGAGATGAACCTCCAGATGGATCGCGTTTGGGGTGCGTGTACAGCCGGTCATGTCGCGGGAAGAACTCGACCAGTTTTCAATAGAGAAAGCACTTGTAGCGTCATTGGGACTGCATTAACCGCGGCCTGCTGTAGGTGGGTAGTACGTAGCGTAACTTTGTTAGGTGGACTACCGTATGAAGTCTAAGCTAAAATAACTCTCCAACGCCCTTGAATAGATAAAACGATTCCTATTGCGAATGGTAAGTGACTCTCTCCTTTCATCCCCACAGATGTCAGCTATAGCTATGTACCGGTGGCGTTCTACTGTATGAGGGTGTGTTATCTTGAAGCTGCCAGCGAATAATATCGTCGCCAATCCAAGTTCGTCTAGGCAGATGGACCTTTCATCCTCACAGATGTCAGCTATGGCTATGTACCGGTGACGTTCTACTGCTGTTGTATGAGGGTGTGTCATCTCCAGCAAACGTCGCCAATCCAAGTTGGCCGACTAGTCTAGTCGTTTAGGCGGATGGATGCTGATCTCCTCCTGGGTCCAAAAGGCGAACAAACGTCTCCATTATACAATGAGGTGGCGCAAAATCTCGCGGCTGAGACTCATGTTTTGGTGATCCACACTGAATCCTGCCTGTGCATTGGCGCTTGGGACGGTGGTTTTGTCCATAGCCTATGTAGACTCATGTACCTGCTGTGTGCTCTTGCACTCTGCTGAGGTCAGTCTCGACCGGTCTACACGTACAATATATAGTTGTCTGCAGCGTCCACTCTCACCCGCCGTTTGTCCACATCCGCCAACCATGGGCGCTCGGCACGAAGTTGGTGAGCACCAACGCCGCCGCCGCTACGGCTGCCGATGCACCAACAGCACGAAATCCTCCGCTACTTCCTCGACCGTTGAGGATCCTTCGTGTGGTCCATGTCTCGGTCTTTGGAATCGGCGGCGGAGAGGGCGACGGATCTCTCGGCGGCACCTCCTTTCGAGACGCCATCTCCATTCACTACCTCTTCACTGCCCGTTCGTTCGGGTTGTTGAGAGCGAAGCTCCTTGTTTCGACCCTGCTCGGTGCTGTCGCCCGCCGTTAGAAGATTGGACGCACCGGAGAAATGTGCGGAGCCCCCATGGGATGACGCTTTACCGCTAAAATACAGTCTGCGCGGCTCCCGCCACGAAAACAGCCGAGGGCGCGCTCTGGAGAATCAACCCACTTTGCAGCCCCAGCACGCGCCCTGAGCGGGGGCGGCGGCTGTGGGGGCTATCTTTGGTGTCAGCGCTGGTACCGGCCGGGATCGACTGGAAAGAGGGAGGGAGAGAGAGAGATAGAGCGAGAGAGAGAGAGTGAGAGTAGGCTTCAAGGAACTCGAGGATCTCCCCTCTCTTATCGACAAGAACTTGAACGCGAAAGGTAGCAGCTGCTCGCCAAGGCATAAGAGAGGGAAAGAGAGCGACGGAGGCGGGTGCTGTGACTTCGGCACCCAGCACCTCATGTCGGTGTCTCAAGCGCGACAGCAGGTGAGCTCGAGCGTTCGCGAGTCCGCGGCTGATGGCAGTCGGGGTTAAGAGAGACAGTTCCCAACCGGCAGGAGCAGTTGTAGGTCGTCAGTCTGGTTGTACCCTTCGGTTGAACTCTCACGTCAATTTTTTTATCGCATGTTGTGTCGTAATCTACGAACGCTCACAACGGCAGCAGCCTTTGGGTATTGCTTGCCCAGTTTCAGCGAGAGACTACGCGTACTCACGGAAAGGAAAGGGATCGAACCCGACACGATTAGCTCCTGCCGCTATGCCAGGCATATTGTGCTTTGAGACGCCGGCGACTCCTTTACTGCTGCTCCGCGACGCCTAGAGGTTGCGGAATAACAACCCTGCTGTACATGACAGAATCACACGAGCAACGTGTTGTTGTTGTTGTTGTTGTTGTTGTCTTCACATTAAAAACCGTTCCGACCTCTCTCTACCCGTACCTTCGTATGTCTGTACTGATCCAGCACTCGATGCGGTCGATTCCCGTGGTCACAGGACCCTATCAATAGTAAGGTACACTCAAATAAACTGGCCCGAGGGGTCCGCAAGTTAAATAGAAATCAACGACAGATATTCTGGAGTCCTCCACTCCCTCTGCGCGCTATGCGAGGTAACAACTGAGACTAGGAGTCACCATGCCGGGCCGGAGAAGAAGAGGTACACCCCCTTGGTTCAATCATGGCACGTCACAACGCAAGCAGAGACACGGTCATCTGGGACAGAAAAAGAGAGAAAAAAAAAAACAAGAGAAAAAGAGAAAACAGTATATACATGGACGTTAGATGACGCGTGTCAAGCGGTCGCAGGCCGCCTCAGCCCTCATGTGACACTGACCTTTGATACCGAAATGTGCGACTGAGAAAGCCGATACGGCCGGGAGAACATCGCGTGGACTATTGCAGGCGCCCTGTGTGTTCGGTGGAGATTCGGGCGGGTGGGCAAGCGCACGCGGCAATGGGAAAAAATTATCGAAATCCGAAAACACTTGCGGCTGCCCTCGATGACACCCTGAGCAGTACAGCAGTATGCGCTAGGAGCGACTTAATGGCTTCCTCCGTACAACTCTGTGCACATGTAGTTGCAGCAGTTGGTATTATCCATGTGGTGTGGCTCATGTTGTTCAATGGCTCTCTTCTCTTATCCTAGGTCCTCCCTGCGTGCGCCGGATCCCAGTGATGATTGCTCTCAACACCGACCCAATCCAGTTTCATTATCCCTGGCCTGGCCGTACGAATACAACACCTCAGACCACATTTTTTCCGGTACAGTTCGTCGCAAATGGTTGCTTCAACTATTACACTATTACACTATTACACTATTCAACTATTACTAGCAGTTTGGTTGTTGCTACGTGACCATACACTACGCTTTACCAGACCCAGGTCGTTGATATTTGGTTGCGGTTTTGGTTTCGGGATGATGCCCGCCGCCCGCCCAGCTGACGAACGGAAGCAAAGAGCCGTTGCAGCCTACCCCAGCAGTAGGATGTACCGCAACACCTCTTGACCGCTGTAGCGCGGTATATACACAGACAGTACGTGTATCTCGGAGCTCCGCGTTGAAGATGGCGTGGATCCACCCCCTTTCAAAGGCGCCCATGTTTCTTTTGGAACACTTGAAAGGAGCTCTTACCGCCGAGAGCGGGCTGCTTATTTTCACCTCTGGTGGGTGATCCCAAGATCGACCCTAAATGGGTTTTCTAGTTGGTGCTCAGGACTCATGTGACGGAACAGCTCAACAGCTCTTCGTATGGGCAAGTTGTAATGCGTGAGGCTCACTCTCTTCAGCAGCTGTCAATTTTATGGAAGTGGTGGCGCTGCTGCTTTTAATGCTGCTACTGAGGGCGCGTCGCCCTACCGTGGATTAGAGGCGCTGTGCTGGCTCCATCCAGCAACAGCAGTAACAGCAGCAGCAGCACCATGCCTTACACCACCTGTCGTGCTTGATGGCGTCGATGTCTACCCGCTAATGTACTCTGCCTGTTTGAGTGTGACTCTTGGGAGCCAAATCAAACCAGTAAACCATTCATTCAGCGCTGACTGTTACAGTCTCTACCGGTTTGATTTCGGCTTCGTGAGACTGGTAAAAAAATCGATTCGATCCCTGTGGTATTCAACTGTCTCATCTATCGTTGGTGCTCTCATCATGTCGTACACTATTCAGGGTTGTCTAAGGACGATAGACCGACTTTCCAACAGAGGATGTATACGGTAGGCACTTCTCATGTGCCGCCAGTCAGGGTTGAAATATGCATATCATACATACAGGTAGGAGCGCGAAAGAAAACACGTGCTAAATGTATGCTTAGACTCGTGTAGAATTGCCTCCATTTGCTTGCCGCAACAAGGAGGGTAATGATGTACAGTTGAGTATTTTTGTGACAAGGGATAGCAGGAGCTCACTGCGTTCCGCTTGAAAAAGTGCCGATGCACGAACCCAAGCTACTCCACTTTGACTCCGCTTTGACAGAACCTCTACAACGGCGTTAGCAGTGACTTGCTTGGCAAGATGACTCTTATTTTCTGCACCCCGAGGTGAAGCAACTGCCACCTCTTCCTTGTGTCCATCGACTCCTCCCAAATCGCCGCCTACAGCAGCAGCAGTAGTATATCGTACCTGTGTCTTTGTTGTTGTGTGCGCGTTTGAGGCAGCCGTTCTCTGCTGCAGCACCTTCGACCATCCTTACCGATCTACCGGACGCGGATACCTTCCGTGGTGACAGGCCAACTCATCAAGAAAGGGCACACACTTCCAGCACTACAGGAAGGAAAACATGGAGTACTACGTACCAGTAAGTATCAAACGCAGCCGTAGCAGGAGCATTTTGGATTTTTTCGAATGTTCGTGACCGCGGTCCCCCCCCCCGCGTCTCAATCGTCCACCTGAACATAGGCGAGCAACGGGTCTGGCGCACACTCCGGCAGACGTCGCCGAAGAGGCGGACACGCAGCAACGCCTGCGGCAACGCCGGCTGCTCGACAGCCAACGACCCTGCTGCAACACGCCTCCGGTAGCGTCGGAAAGGCAGCGGCCGGCGGCGGCGGCGGCGGCGTCGGGCGAGGCGGCGGGCGGCGAACGATCTGGGCCGAGAATACGGCAACAGCATCAGGACCAGCAGGAACCGCGGCGGCGGCAGCGGCGGCCGCGGGACGCTCGCACAAGGCGTCTACAACACCCACTGCCGTACGCAGCGGCGGCGGCGGCGGCGGCGGCGGCGGTAGCAGCGGCAGCCAGATTTCCAAAGGCAAGAATGGAGGCGGGCGGAGAAGGGGCGAGGCCGGTGGTGGCGACGTTAAGGCGGCGGTGGCACCGACGGCAGTCCCGGCGCCGGCGCCAGTTGCCGGTAACGGCTTCGGCGGTGGCGCTGTGCGGAAAGTTCACCCCGGGATGCTGGAGAGCGAGTTCTTGGCGGCGACGGAGCAGGCGAACGGAGGCGTCGAGGGCGGTGCGGTGTCCTTGAGCCTGGAGGAGGTGCCGTACGACAGGGATCTCAGGTGAGGGCTTGGTTTTTTGTCCCACCGAGCGGTGACGGGTTTTGACTATTTCCGCCGCGGGACGCTTGCCCCGCGAGTCTATTAATAAGAGGTGGTGAGGAGCGACGTTGAGGAATGTTCTGGGGGTGCGCTAATGATGCGCCGCCAGTGCCGCAGAGTTCGGGTGTTCTCGAGCATGGGTAACACTTACCTTTTTTTTTGTTTTCTTGCTAGGTGTCCACAAGTTTTACTTCAACATGTGTATTTCCCGGTCCTTCATGGCAACATGATTGTTCTTATCCGGGGCGTTCTGAACACCAAGTCGTGGCCGCTCGTGCTCGGAGCACGTGTTGCTGCCGTCCTCCCACCCGCTAGCACGTGTTGCTAGACATCACCAGCCTCTATACCCCTTTTTTCCAGTACGTTTGCTCGTACCTTCCGAGTGCACACAAGAGACCGTTCAATCAGGTATTTGTAGCGGCCTCGGCTTGATCCTTCCCCCCCCCCCGCGCTTTTTACGCCACAGGTGGTGCAACACCGCCTCGGACTCCAGGCCCCGCCCAAAGATGGACCCCCAGGGAGGCGTGTTCGGGCGCGTCGGGACGGCGATAACCCACGACACCGGCGACTACGAGCGCCTCGACAGGCACTACCAGGAGCTTTGGAAAGACCGCGAAGAGAATGGCCCGCCCCCTGCCAGCGGTCCCCGCGGTGGCAACAGCGGCCGCGGCGGAGGCGGCAGCGGCGGAGGAAGGGGTCCCTCGCGTGGTGGCAGTGGGAACGGCAGCCGTGCGCGAGGGGGGCGGGGCGGGGGGCCCGGGGGCGGTCGAACCGCCAACGCTCCTCGCGGTGGCGGGTTTCCGACGACGGCGGCGGCGATGGGGGCGGGGCGCGGGGGCGGTGGCAGGGCAGAAGGCGCCGCCATTGCCGCTGCCGGACGGGAGGGCCTTGGGGGGTCCGGGGGACGGGGGAGGGGTGGGACGGGCGCCGGCGGCGGAAGCCCCGCCTCTCGGGATGCCGCTGGAGCTGCGATGGCGGAGGCAGCAAGAGCCGGGGAGCGCGGGGGCTCGGGGAACAACCAGCGCAGCAGCAGGCGTGCCCAGAGGGCGAACGGCGCCAACAAGGCGCTCATGGGGAGCGGCAACGGCGGCGGCGGCGGGGGGCCCGGCGGCGGTGGAAGGGCGAACGGCGTGCCGCAGCACAGCCCGTCGGCGAACGGGGTTCCGCCGCATCATCGGGCGTCTCCGGCTCTGAACTACCACGGCCAAGCGGGCGTCTCGGCCCGCCAAGCACGTGGTGTCGGCACCGGCACCGGCACCGGCGGCGCTAGCGTCGTCCCCCCCTTCCAGCAGCCTCTGAGCAACAATGTCCGGGGTTGGTCCGAGGGGCAAGATCATCAGCCCCAGCAGCGGGACCAGCAGCAGCACGGTTGCGGTGGCCATCCGCTCGTGGCGGGGCAAGGCCCGTGGTCGATGGAAGCCCCGCCACCACCAGCCCCGGGAACGGCGACGACGGTGGCAGCCGTTATCAACGGCGGGGGTTCGGGGGCGGGCGTGAGTCCACCGCCGCCGCCCACGCTGGTAACGGCGATGCCCTCCCTCCCCGCTCTTCCGATGTTGCCGCCAGACTCCCCGGAGTACCTGTGCGACCTCGCCAACGCGCTGAGCTCCACGCCGCCGCCGCCGCCTCCCCTGTTCACCGGTCATCATAACCACCAGCACCAGCACCAGTACCGGCCGTCAGCGGTGACACCCCCGCTAGGCCCTTCCCGTGATCTCGGCGGCGGCGGCGGTGGCGGCAACGGGTTGTTTGGAGGAGATTTCACACCAAAGCAGAACGGCGGCAGCAGCAGCTCGGCGGTGTCCCCGTTTTTGAGCCCCGGGCAGTCGAAGATTCTGGCGGACCCGTCCCTCGACGTGGACATCCAGGACATTTGCGCCGACCCCGATCTAAACGCCGATGCCCCGGCCTTCGTACCCGGGGGGTACTGACGATGGGTAATGACAAGGGCAAAGGCAAGGAGGGGTGGGCGGGCGGGGGACGTTTGTTCCCTCCGCAAGATGTACAAGAACTGTGTGCTTCTATTCTAGCATCGTGGATTTTTCTCCTGTGCTTTTGGGCACCCTCAAGCGAAGCGACGCTGGCGGCGGGCGCAAGGCTGGTTTCAAGCACTGGCTGACGCTTCTCCACCTAGCTTTCCGGCAAGCGACCGGGCGCGTCAACCCGGCCTGTTATTGTACGACGCCGCCGTATCGGCACACCCGAAGTGGCAAAAATTGCGCCGCCTGTCTGCCCAGCGAACCGTTTTTCGCCGACAGATCACTGCTGCTGCACTCTGGCGCCACGAGTCGTCGTGTCCTTCGAGCTTGGGGCGGGGTGTTGGCGTTGTGACACTTTTGGCGTGCACCGGTTTCTGTTGTAGCAGCGGCACGGGCTCATCGTTGCGAGGCCGGGCTGCACACGAGGAATGACGCCTTTATTGTCGAGGCCACGCCTTCCTTCCTTGGCGTCCATGCCATGTATCGGGGTCGTTGATCGGGGCGGGGGATTCCGGCATTTGCTTGCCGTTTTCTGCGGTCGACGTCCATCTCCATGAGAGAGAGATTGAGCGCGGGTAGATCTAGCCGCACGGAGGGAGGCCATGAAGCGTTTTCGAAGGGGAGATTTTTGCAGGCGCGGGCGAGCACCCGTCTCTCCCTGCAAGGATCCTCCTCTTGGGGATATTTAGTACTAGTACTTGAAGTAGTAACGTAGATGCCGTTTGGGTATCACCACAGTAGAGCTCCGGCGGCTGCTGCTGTGTCCTCAATGACAAGTGTCTTGTGCCCCGCGCGCGCCTGTGTTTTTTTAGTTCGGCGCACCGTGTAGTGGCTCTGAGAGTTGTGCCGGTGGCGGCCGGGCCGGACGCCCCTTGGACAGTAAATATGACGCGTGCCCCCTGTGTTCGTCAAGCTGCGGACGGCCGCGGCGGCGGTGGCGGAGGCGGCGGCGGTAGCGGCGCGCAAGCCATACTCGATCTCATCGGAAAAGGCCCGGCCAGGCGCGGCCTCGTCGAAGGTTGCGGCGGATGCGGCGGCTGGGGCGGCCGCCAACCATTTTCAGCTCTTCTCTGAGACGAGACGCTGCTGCAGTCGAACGGCGTCGCTTGCCTCGCCGCCACGGTGGCGGCGGCGGGTATTCGCGGGGTTTATAGTAAGTAGAACTGTTAAGGGTCCTGCTCTCTAGGGTCTGGGAGGAGGGTGAGGAGCGCGCTGTCGTGCGCTGTGCTAGGTCTTGCATATGCGTAGGTATGGTGGCATTTTTGTTTTCTGCGCGTGTGCTTTCGGAACGCGTTGGCGTGGCGTGCTCAAGCGCACTTTCTTCTCTGTGGTTTGTTGGGTGTTTTTGCTCTCCCAGATGACATGGTCGAGTCCTAGCTGTAGGCAGGGGAGGGGAAGGACCATCCGGTGTACAGCAGGGGGTCTGTATGGCGCAGATGGCGTATATTGGTTGCTCGACGCGGCGATGTTTTCTGTCTCTGCAAACCAACTGTGTTCGCCCGTACGGGCGGCACTCCAGATAGCGCGGGGGATAAGGAGAATGCGGGGAAGGTGTCTTGCGTGGTACGAACCGCAGTCCCCCCGGATAGAACGGGAGCAATGTGCAAGTGGACCGCGCAAGTTTTTGGGACGGACGCCCATTGGGTGCATGAGTTGGAACTTATCATTAAGTTAGAGCACCAGGGCAGCACACGCGAGTAAAGACAGTGGGTGTATCCGTTTTGACCCGACTTAGCTTTGCGTGGGTTTGCTGCTTGCCCGCCGTGTCTCGCCCTCAAATCTGTATGTACTGGCGACGCTGTTTTGGTTACCGTTGCTGTGTGATACTGCGGCAACGGGTGGGTATGGAACCGGCTGGCTGGTGCCTGCCGTAAGGTAAGCTTGAGAAGAAGACGCTGGTATGGTAGCGAGTCGGCGACAGTCGGTTGTGCGATTGGCTGCATCACCGCAGCTGCTTGCTGGCCGCTGCTGCCTTGTCTCCGGCAGTTGATGGGCACACTTTGAGACGGGAGCTTGTCGCCGTTTTGTCACCGCCAGTGTCCGGGATAGATACCGGCGGGTGGTGGGCGAAAGTGAGAGAACATAAGTATGACAGGTTGTTGGCGGAGGGGGTGCATGCAAGGATTTATTTATGTCTGTGGCGGTATTTTGGAGCTAGCTCAGGTAGACGATCGCTGCTCCATTCACTCGTTGCTTAGATGCAACATAACGGAACGGGGGGACGACGGAAAGGAGGGGATGCATGGATGGATACATCTAGCAGGGATGGGAAGAACGGAACGTGCAGGAGTCAATATATCTTTGTTATGTGGCACGCCTGCTGCATTCGTCCGTCGGTCTATCGCCCAGCCCACTAAGTCCAAGGGATGCATTCATTCCCGCTGTCGTCATCGTTTGGGGTGTGTGTATGTATTGCCTGATTGGTTAGCGCCCCCGTCTGTTGACTGATTGTCATCCCGTACCCCCCCCCAACCGGCGTTGCCGGCCTTCGGATGTATGTATGATGTGAGTCAAGTTGATAGCGAGAGAGGTGAACGAACGCCCGGCAGTGATGATGACCCCTCAAGTCGGCAGTGATTTTGTCGAATGCCTCCCCTCTCTCTGTGATCGATTGGTACTGATTGGTGTAGGGGACAGAGCAGAGAAAGAGAGAAAGAAACCACGGGGGGGAAGGTCGGGTATGAATTGCCTCTGGGTTTATTGGGTGATTGGACTTCCGTATACGTAAATAACAAACGGTTTTGTCCGTCATACCCGGCACACAGAAATAAATGTTGTGCGCTCGCCAAGTCGCTGTGGCGGGCAACAAGAATAGTATGGCTGAAGTTGAGGCCGGTGCCTACACCCATATTGTTCGAAACGCATCTCAACGAAAACGACTGGTGGTGTAGGAAATACCTTCATCAAGCCCTCACTTGCAACATGAGTCTACTTGCACTGTTCATGTTCATCCCTCGACAGATCGGTCACAAACACCGACAACCCATCTTTCAAGAGTAGCCGTGGGGTGTTTTCACAAGGCAAGAGGCCTTGTCCACCTCTGCCAACCGAGTAGAGTGACCGCTGGAGATTTGCAAAACACCGCATGATATGGAGGGCGAATGACATGCAGGAAGTCAAGGTGGGCGGATGGGCTGGAATTTATTATCGTCGAATGAACAACTAGCTGGGCTAAATCCGACTTGCGGCACAATCGATGGCCACATCATTCTCTGCTCTCAGCGGAAAAACCGTCCCAGATATTCCGGCAGGTTGGAAGGGGCGGCGGTAGCATGCACTTGTGCTACGTAAAAAAAGGATGGCTGAAGCGTCCCTCGTGGAATGTTACTATCACTTCCCAGGTGTACAGCAGCAGTGATTGTCCTGCCCAATGCTGCTTCAAAGTCAATCAATAGCAACAGCATTCGTTGTTTGAGACACATCAAAGGAAAGGTGGGTGAACGCAGCGGTCGGTTTTTTCCCGCTTTCCTCAGGGCCTTAACAATTTAGCGGAACTAGCTCTAACTCGGCTTGAGGTCTGTCGTCAAGCGAGTCTACTTCTCACGCCTATTCAGTGCGGCTCAACACCCCATCGCGGGGGTAGATAAGCCTTCCCTGCGCTGCCCGGGGGCTTTCTACCTTTATCAACAACGCTTTGCTTGCATCTCTATTTCAACTCAACAACGCTCATCAGGGGTAAACACAAGGAGATAGGATACCACAACATAGCTTCATCCTCATCAGACACAGCAGTGCCAAGACAAGCAACATTCGAAACGTGCTCGCCGATTCCACCACCCGTCCCGCCACCGCGGGAGGCAAGAACGCACAAGACGAACCGTCACGAGGCACCAGCCACCTGGTTCTATTGAGGAACACCCAACACCGACTGCGTGTAGGAACATTTTTGACCTCGAAGAAGCCCACAACGACCTGACTTTTGATGTCGGCGTATGTACAACATGGCCACACATGCCACTTCACTTCATGATGACGCCACGGCTATGGCTTCCTCTTCCGAGCAGCGGGGGCACGTGCAAAGAAAACCGTAATCCTCTAGCGCATCCCTTCTCTCGACAAGACCCATGTCTCTGTTGACGTAGCTTTGAGTCAGCTCCTCCCCAGCGGGCACGTCTTCCAAAAGCACCACATCCGCAACCAGGGGATCAGCGCTCGCGGCACTCGCAACCGCCGCATTTTCAGGGTCCACCGTAGCCTTCTTCTCTCGCCTTCTCCCCGGGTAGCGCACGAGACAGTTGGGCCGGCACGAGTGATTCATGCAACAGATGAGGGGGTACAGCGCGGTCCCGTCGAGGGGGGGGAACAACGACACAACTTCGTCCCCTTCCTCATCACCGCCGATTGCTGCCTTGAGTATCGTCTCGGCCTCCCCTTGGCCCATCCCTGACTCTTCTAACGCACCATCTCCAGGAACACATTTTCTCGGCGCAACGGGACAGATCATCTGTAAATCACCCTCCTCCTCTTCCTCATACTCCTCGTCCATCACTTCGCCCACCAGCCGCGCTACCTCCCCCAGCACATCCCGCGACGTTCCTCTCGTAGGGCAATCATCATTACCCTCGCTCGACGCAGAAAGCAGTTCCCGAAGTACCTCGGGGATCGGGGACGGCGCGCGGACGCCGACGTTGTTCTGCTCGAACATGCCGACCACCCTGCCGAACATCTCGGTCATGAGGGCCTGCTCTAGGGGCGCCGGCAGGGGTCCGAGGGCACGGGCGAAGGCCCGGCGTAGCAGCGCCGATGACTCTCCACACAGGGCTCGCAGGGTGCCCGGTAGAGCGGCGGCGCAGGAGTTTTCATCACCGCTACAGCCGTCCTCGGATGTGCAGGGTGGCAGCGATGACCCATCTGTTGCGTCGCGCCCGTCCCTAGCGACGGCAACGTCCCACCAGGGCTCTTGAACGAAATCCGCGAAAGGAGCACGGGCGGCGGAAATTTCGTCGTCGACATCGCCGCTGCCGCTGCCGCTGCCGCTGCCGCTGCCGCTGCCGCTGCCGCCGCCGGGCTTGGCCCGCACCTTCTCGGTAAATGCGGTCGCGATCTGTGCCATCACCTCTCCCACAAGGAGAAATATCTCGTTGGTTTGCATCGCGTGTACCTGTGTTGTAGATGGGGGGGGGGGGGGGGGGG